TGGCAGTAGCCGGAAAGGGGATGCTGTGCCTACTTAATTTGACTGTGATGCGGGGGATAGTCCATGATCTTATTGATAATGGGCTACTGGTGTCCCTCTTGCGCGTGAGGGTGGCGGACCTGGCTGGAGTACTGGGGATCGAAATATCATCTCCGTCGTTTGGAACCTGGGACATACTGAAATATATGGAATAATAAGCTTTAGCCTAAGGGCGTATCCTAGGATGTTAGCTAGTGCCAAAGAGGTGAAGACATTTGTTAGCTTGGTGACAATTGAGTCCCTACTAGTTGCCAAGTGGCTTGAGAGGTTCTACCTATGGTTGGCGTGAGGGGGTCGCCTGCGGGGTGTTGGCATGTCTGGGAATGTATTTATCAACAGGGGAGAGGTTGTGACAAGTGAGGCCCTTAGTATGCAACAAGAGAGGCGGCTAGCTATGTTTTGGCCTGTGGGGCGTATTACCTCTTTCGTGGAGGACGGGTGTTGGCCTCGCGGGACCTCTATGGCAGAAAGTGCAATTGGACTGAGCAATCTATGACCTTGATGAGCCTAGCTTGTCCAAGCTAGGAGCCTTGTGTCTGTAACACATGTCAAATAAAGTTATAGTGGTTCCGTAACTGTCTGCTTGGTACAGTTTGAACCTTGCGTTTATGCTACTGCCCCCTGAGTTGCAGTAATATGCCTGCCTAATGAAACGTATGCCTGTAATAATAATGCACGTACTAATATTTAGGAACACAACACTCTTGATCTGTATCTTGGGTCTCTTGAATCACGAAAAGCCGACCTAGTGATCAAATTGACAAATATTGATTTAACATATACTGTTGAATGCCCCCTCCCCCGGGGAAAATGCCCGTCAGCTATGAATTAAGCACCTTGTAACTGTTACCTAATGCACGTACCAGATTAGAAAGAAAGAAAGACTTCATGAGCTCTGACTAGGTCTGTGAAACCCGAAAGCAGACCTATGGATCAATATGACGAAATACTGGTAAATAGACAACCTAATGCAACCTGTAAAAATTAACCTTCATACTGTCCGAAAGCCCTAACAGTCTTCACAGAACATAAATTAGTTAAGCTATAGCAATGAAAATTTTACATACACTGAAACAGTGATAGCTTCTTGAGACTATGTGTAACCATGCCACCAGGTGGCGTTGTGCTGCGCTGTACCCTGATTATCAGGTGTGAAAATTCTGGACTGTTTGAAACAGCAGGGTTGAGTTGGGAATGATACAGATTAAAATATACCGTACTTGCCATATGACACAGAGGGAAAACCCTCTTATAAATATCATATCTAATGTCACTCACTTTATGTGGCATTGTGTGGCTGTGAGTGATGGGATTTGTGCTGCCCTTGCACTTTACCGCCTATTCTGCCGTTGCAGATCTGTGGTGTGATCGGCCGGAAGTAGACCGACGCTCGTTGTGGAGGGAGCGCACCTTGCAACGAGTGGCTGTTAGCACGACTCCGACCACGTGAGTGAATACCCATGTCAGCTGTGCATGCCCCTGGGGTATATGGCTACTCTCCGTATCCTTCTTGATTGGGGAGGGGGCAGGGAGACCCAGGGAAGCCGGTATGTGGCTCCCCTCCATGCCCCTGTTGATGGGGAGGGGAGCCGGCATGTGGGTACTCTCCGTGCCCCAGGTGACACCGTGGGGGAGGCGGGGGTACCGAGTCATGCTGGAGATCCCGGCGGGTTGTGTGATCCCTATTATGTGATACAGACGGTGTACGAGTGTACCCGTCTGTGCTCACTGTTAAGCGCGGGAAACAGCTGTTTGTTCTGGGCGGCAGCTAGGCAGACAGCCTGGGTTCCGACCAGTGGTCCGGAGGAGCCTTCAAGTGTGTGATCCTGTTCTCGGGTAGCAGGCCATTCAGCAGTATGAGTCCCCAGCAGTCTGTGAGTCTGGAATCAAGCAGCAGTACTTCTGGACCAATAACCCCAACAGTAGGTCTGGAACCAATCAGGTAATGTAGGGAAGGGGGGGGGAGTCCGTTTTAAAGGTACACAGCCCCTCCCACAACTTCAGGCCCAGCCTTTCAATATATATAAACTTTACTTTAGTTGCAATGAGTATAGTATAAACATGAGTGCTTGGTGAACCTTTGGCACTGTACATTGATAGAGGCTTCTGTTTGTGCAAGTATATGTGGTTAGACATTGAAACAGTTGTAGATAACAGTAACGTTTCATTTTTAGTACCGTCCAGTTAGCCACTGTAAGGTAGTGATGTGTAGGAGAATATGCAACATTGTCAACTTTATCGACTGGTGTATCTGTGGCTGGTTGGGAAGTAGGTGGTACAGTGCCCGGGTCTCCTGATGACAGGCTTAGTTGCTGGGAGGAGGGACGATCATGTCAGAGACAGGTTAAATAGGCGAGCATAGTCCTGCTCGAGCTCCCATTCCCAGTTGGCCAGACAGGACAAGTCCGGCTGTAGGTCTGCTATGTCAGTGAGGTCCCAGTTATCTGCCCGTTCAGCTTGGATAGGCCAGAAGCGAGCACTGTCGGTTTCTCTGAACCCCAGACTAGTTTCAAAAGCCTCCTACAACAAACCAGGGCCATCGTAGTCTCTCCCCTCAAGACACTTATACTTGATCAGTCACGGGTAGAGGTGGTAGGCATGCCACCGCAGGGCCTGGTATGAATCATCCAGCCACACCTTGGTCTCAACTAGCGTCTCCAGTTCGCTTACCCATTCCTCTGAGGGCTGGTTTCCCAGGAACGGCATCCGCAGCTCTAGCTGTTCCGCTTGTCGCTGGTTGGTGGATTTCCTCACTCTGGAAGGGTCGAATTTCACCGAGGTCCTCCTTTCCGAGATCGGTTTGAAGCACCACCCTCCACACTGTCTCTGTATCCTCTGGGATAGGGTACTCCATACTGCGCAGCACATCTTGTAGTCACTGCTGAAGTCTGGCGTCGAAGCTGGATACTGCCCGGCAGAACTTGCCTTCCATTCTGCAGTAGTGCTGGTTTTCCCAAGGTTAGGAAGCCATCCCACTGCTGCCAACCAATGTAACGAAGCTCCCTGTACCCAGGCTGGGTACCTCCGCCAAGGACCGCTTCCTAGCTGGAACAGGGGACAAACAGCAGCACTTCTGCCACAGTCGACGTGGCTTGACTGGGGCCCTGAAACTGCTCTCTCCTGGAGCCGAATGGGGAATTTGCTCAATACGCCCCCAGGCACTGGATGATACTCAGTCATGTGAGCACTAGTCCTTACAACGACTTTCCCCATTGAATTCTCCACACTGGAACAGTGATTAAAGAATAGCCTTTTCCCCTCCCAGTAACCAGACGACACATAGTTCTGGGAGTACAAGCTGGAATCATTTGATGGCAGCCACAACTGGCCTTATAAGCATGTCCCCATGCAAGGCACACTCCCTCCTGGACCTGAGAGTAAACCACAGTGGAACCAAATACACAATTACATTGTCTCTCAGATCCAAGACACTACCATACATAATCAGGTAATCCCTCCTGTGTGCCAGGGAGATAATTAGATCAGGAACTGTACTTATCTAATCCAATTATTTCCAAGCACAGAAAAAAACATACTTTTTCCCAAACACCCCAAAAGTACCCTAAAAATACATAAAAACCCCACAAAGATCCCCTGATAGCCCTGATCTGGGTGACCAACATATCCAAAAATCACCCAGATCAGTTCAGGAATTTCCTGGAAGTCATTTGTTTGACCGACCACACGCATCCCCAAAACAGTTCCAGAGAATCAGGGCTTGCGGTCGGTCTAGTTCAGTAGTTTAAAAATGAACAAGCTACTGAATATAGTCAATAGTCCTACCCGGGAACTTGTTCCCCTCGTTCGTGGGAACGTTTCTACCGAACAGTGTCTTTCTAAGTGTTGTCGCACCGAACGCAGGCTATCATGGATATCCAGCAGGGTTCGGGAGTTTCAGTAACCGAAAATAGTTCCATGAACTCGACGACCTGCGTTCATGTGAACAAGATGGCTGCCACCTCGTGGTCGTCCATAGGAATTGCCCAGATGAACACTTAGAACACTGAGGTGGAAATTGTTACAAAGTAGCAAGTAGGCTTAACAAGCTCCAGGGTGGTCTCCGGTTCATGCGGCTGTTCGGTTCCCGAACATATAGTCCAAATACACGAACTGAGACTTTTATATCACATTTTACAAGGTCCATAGTCTGTGGGCAGGAGGCTGGCAAGCAGGCTTCTCCAGGAACTCATGGCAAACTCACTTGAAAAGGGGAGTTTGTCACAATGGCCATACTGTATGTATTTTTATTGTGAATATTACATGATTTCTTGATATTTATTGTTGTGAGGGAAAATACATGTTTTCTTCTTTTGTTCCCTTTCTTTTTTTCTATGCCTTTTCTCTAAGTTTAGTTTTCCCATAATGTTTACTCTGTTATACTTTAAGAAATTGTTCAATAAAAACAATTTGAAAATAACTAATTGGCAAATAGTAATGATTGCATTATAGGGGTGGGGAATATGATTGATCTGGACTGTGGAGCAGGTGTGATGGGGAGATTATAGGGCTTGTATTTGCTTTGCCTAATGCCTCAGTGAGTCTTACCTTTTCATTTTCCTATTGATATTTCAGATCTTAGATTTTCGGGGATTTTAAAATTTATTCACCAGCTTTTGTTGAACGTCAATTCACATTATTCACTGTAAGCTAATGGCTTTAATGATTCCTTAAACTCTATGTTTCAGCATTCCTTTTTAAATCTCTGTTGTGAAAAGCACAAATTTTCCAAATAAGTTTGTATCCAGACATATTGATGGGATTAATGATGACAGATGCAGAAACAAATTGGGTAATAGAGTACATGTGAGTATTGTGTAACTTTCTTGGGCATCTGGCATCATACACAGCAGATAAAAATTAACGAGAACTATCAAAGCCAGTTCAACAAAGGTCATTCAACATAATTTGATCAGATATAAAAATGCCATTCAGTCTGTCCTTCATCTAATTTATCGTCCAATATGGAGCTGCTCTCTTTTTCAAGATCGGTAGCTTGGCTACTCCTCGTAGAAGCTTTTTGTCTGGTAGAAGGAGGCAAGCTTCTAGTAGTTCCTATGGATGGCAGCCATTGGCTAAGCATGAAACCTGTAGTAGAAAAACTAACGAAAAATGGGCATCAGGTTGTGGTGGTGACACCAGAGAGTACTTTATCAATGAGTAACTCTTCATGTTATTCTCTGAAGACCTACTCTGTGCCATACAGCAGCCAGGATGTAGAAGACAAATTGCAGAAGTTTGGAAGCGATCACTTCATTAATCATCCTTTTCCAGGAGTCACCATCGCTATGTTTAACAGCATGTTAGATGTATATGACATGTTTCGGACTATGTGTGCAAAGTTATTATTCAATAAAGAGTTAATTCAAAATCTAAGAGAAGATAAGTATGACGCATTGCTTACTGATCCATTTTCACCTTGTGGAATGATGGTAGCAGAACATCTCGGAATTCCTAATGTGAGTTTTCTAAGAGGAATGCCCTGTATGTTAGACTACACCAGCACACAGTGTTCGAGCCCCCTGTCCTATGTTCCCAGAATATTCAGCCAGTTCTCAGACAAGATGACTTTCATGCAGCGTTTGAAGAACCTATTGATTAGAGTAATCGAGTTCTATTATTGTGCGGCGACATATGCACCATGGGAACATCTGGCTTCCAAGTTCCTAGAAAAGGAAGTAAATATTTATCAACTTCTCAGTAGAACATCCATCTGGATTATGAGATATGACTTTGTTTTTGACTATCCACGACCTGTAATGCCCAACATGAAGTTTGTAGGAGGCATCAACTGTGTTCCAAAAAAAAACTTGAGTAAGGTAAGAATAATTCATTCATATTATATTGCAAGTAAATTGTGATTTTGATCATATTATTTTGATGATATTTTAACTTAAATATTTTAACTCGCTGTACAACAGTAACTGATTGCTTAAAAATTTTAAACTAAATATTGACGAGTGTGAGAAGCCCATTTACAAAAGAAACACTTATTTTTGTACACTGGTGTATTTGCATTGACAATGAAATGCATGTACATGGACATTTTACCTTTACCTGTGTTACTTCTATTCCCACACTGAAGGGCTCCTTTATGCACAATTGCTCAATCTGTAAAATTATTAAATTAATCATTACAGATGCACAGGCAAATGGAAGGCAGATTTTACCCTGGTAAAATTATGTAAAGAAACATGCTCATAACACTTCTTCCGAAATAATGAATAGTACAACTTCTTGTGATTTAAAAACATTTAACTCAACTTTATTGAACCACATTAACATGACAGCTACAAGCTGTTGTTGATAAGACAACAGGTAGTTGCAGATATTATTTTTAACCATGCATTCCAGTTCTTTTCCATTCTCAGCCATTCACAGGGCCTATATCTCCAACGTGGCTTTGTCTTATTGTTGTGCTAGCCAAGCACAACTGCCGCTGTTAGAATACTGACTGTTTTATTTAGTGAATAGAACCCACAGTAAACAACACAGACTTTTATAGTAGGGAAGAAGCCTTGCCGACATCATGCATACCACCCAACATTCCAAATGCACAAAGACAAATACTTTCATTTTAGGGATATGGGTGGGGATGTGACCAGGGCAGGACTGATAGGAGAAATGTTTAAATGTCTTACTAATAATTTTATGGAACAAAAAGTTAATTTAGAACAAGAACAATGTATCTTGTTTTCACAGACTGATTTCTAGACCAGGGGTAGGCAACTTATGGCACGTGTGCCATGCACGGCACTTGAGGTACCTTTGCACGGTACTCAAGGCTACCAGAGTCAAACAGGCTCTGTCCTATCAGGAGTCCCAGTGAAACTTCAGATATCTGCTAATACGAAAAGGTGGTGAAGGACAATCCTCAATTTATGCATTGCAGCACGTAGAGGAAGTGACTTCAGATTACTTCCTCCCAGCACTTGGGAATCCACACTGTAGTAGAGCAGCCTACAGCTGCTGTTGCAGCTCCTGTCCTTGACCTGTACCTGGCAAGCACGATATACACAGAAATGCAGAATAACCCTCCCTTCATACAAATAATATGAATATCCAACACACAATCCGCACAAACTCAACACCACTGACTATCCACATACATGCACTCAAACCCACATGCAGGCTCTTACATAAAATACCCTAAACAGCCCCACACATACACACACTACCAAACACACAATGTGACATATCCATCCACACACAATTCCACAAGCAGCCCCCATACACAGCCCACATTCATAGGGACACGATACCACAAACTACTCATGAACATATACAATATAATAGCTCATAAACGCACAAATACAATGATACAAAGCAACCACAGTATAAATAACACAAGCAGAATATGGCATCATACACACCTCAATTAATGAAAAATAGGACTGGCACGCTACGGGCCATCACAATCTTATTTTGGCACAGTGCTGCTAAAAGGTTGCCTACCCCTCTTCTAGACACACATATTGTAGTTTAAATATACATTACGGTGAGTGTTATTGGTATGGAACTCAGCATTCAGACACAACAACAATATGGAGATCCAAGAAAAGAGGGTCAGAGGACTTTGGGCCCAAATTACAGACTATCCCTCCTAAATTGGGAAGGGTTGGGAGGTATGGTAACTTGTGAGAAATTGGGTGAATCCATTCCCAGGGCACACCACTACAGTAATGTCTGTCTGTGCTCATTTGAATGTCAATCTAGGAACTCTGGGATAGTTGTGGACACATGATTTCTCAAGGTTCTGTGCCTAAGGAGGACATTCCAAAGTTCAATTTGAGATATGCAAATGATACACAACAATCATTCTCTTTTTGCAATGTGGAGAGTTTTGTGTATGATTTCACTTCAACCTTTCAGTCACTCTCATTTTCAGACTAGAACCAGTGTCATGCTAAAGAGACCCAGAAGGTCATAATTGTGCACTCCATGGCGAGATACTGATACCCGGTCCTTTTAGATGATCAACCCATGATTTGGTTTAAAAAAAAACATTACTTTAAATAACATCTGTTGTTAAGGGTACCTGAAAAAAATACAGAAACATAAGGCTTGTCTATGTCCATATGCATGTCTAGCAGGGAACTCTGGAATAGTTGCTGAAACATAATTTCTCTATGTCACAGGTTGGCTAGTCTATTGCTGTTATCCCTTCAATCCTCTACTAGTCATAGTTCCAGATGTGCTGAGTATGGTGATAGTGTTATCGCTGTGTAAAGTTTCACCAATATAATGGACGCAACTAGTCGTATTGGGTAGATGAAGCAATCTGACTTTATTAGGCCACACTTGGCTTTTTATACAGTGCCCCTAGCATGGGGTTTCCAAGACAAAATTCCTTCCCACAAACCATTGTGCTTGAAAGATATTTGAGCTCCAATTAAGATCTCTCAAATAAGAAAACTAACATACAATTTTAACATATCATGAAAATACATGAAAACAGTACAGGAACCTTACAAAAATTATATTCCTGAATACCCCCGATCTGAGCGCAAAACGATCGGTTCGGTAAAACGAAAGTTAGGTTTGAATAAAAAGTTTTGACCGACCGGCCATGAGGTGGTAGCCCAAAACAATTCCAGAGAATTGATAAGGCTGGCCGGTCGACTTTTGGGGGTTCCTGTGCGTACACCAACGAATGCATCTTCTGGATTTAAAGAAATTAATGCTTCCCTTGTTCGGCAGTTTGTTACTCCCAAATACCGTTACCCTAGCTGGTCAGGAAATCAAACGGGCAGGGGTACAAGTTTCCGTGGAGTTCGTGAACTTGTGTAGCCGATTCAGAGATCCATGCCAATGACGACCATGTACTGCTGCCTATGTTTGGGAGACAAGATGGCCACCAGTCCTGATAGCACGTGTGTTCGTATATGCGAATGGCGGCCACCCAGGGAAGCACTTGAGGTGATTGCTCATTTGTCATTAATGGGGGTGGTCGGTGATTAGGAGGTGTTAACAAGGGGGACCACACATATTTTGTTCAGTAACTGAACAGAAGGGAATGGATAGCCGAACACAAGGGAACAATTATTGGGTAGTGATTCCATTCGAATGCAGGGGGGTATCAGACGAAACAAAGTACAAATAAGGGAACACGTACGAGGAGACCCATCTCCCGTGACCCTCTAGTTTCTGTGCCAAAGAGGAATTTCCAAAGTTCAACGTGAGATATGTGATTGATGCACAACAGTAATTTCTCTAATTGCACTGTGTTGGGACTTTTATTGTGTTGGTCTCATAGCAATCTTTTATATATAGAGAGAGAAATATTTTTATACATGGCTAGATATAAATTTGGCTCTATCATCTCTCTCTCTTTTTCTGTCCGTCTGTCTATTCATCTAACTATATGTGCTATTATATATTATAATACATCTACGAAATTCTAAATTAAACAGAATTTGCAATAAAGGAAGTGTAAACATTAGAGCTCACCTTATAGGAAGTATTTAGGAAAGCAGTGCACATTACATGTAGGGTAGTATGACGATGGTTGCAAAGTGGTTTAATTCTTAAATGGCAGATAATTGAGCAGTGAGACTGCAGGGGCATGATCTATACACCAAAACAGCTTTGTTAAGCCAAAGTAGTTTTGATTCCAGTGCAACGATTTTAACTTGATCATGATGGACCTAATCCATAATTATGTATTATAAAATTTAACATCAACATTATGTTTTAGTTCTAAATAAACCTTGCTATTTTATCTATACTACCTTTAATCAATCAATAAATACATGGCTAAATTCTAGCAGTTTAGGGGCAAGGATGAAGAATGGAGGGCTCTGGGGTCATAGCATGGTAAACTCTGACCACCATTATTAAAAACAAATGTCTACTCGTAACTATGCAATTGTATTTATATAAGTTTTACACCTGTATAATTACTTCTGCAGAGATTTACCAGAGTATCATGTTTACAAAGTGGTTCAAAGATGTAAAAGGGGAAAAGTCACCAATAACATGTGCATGCTGATTCCACTGGCTTCCATGGTGATTACTCCATTTTAGAACTTCACACAAGAGGCATTGAGGGGTTCACAACTCTACTGTGGCTGTGAGCACATATGTGAAATAAAACATACAGGAGATAATCAACCAAGAAGATAATCCTTCGTTCCTTATTGAGAAAGGCGTAAATCCATTTTGTCTTTGTTTGAGGTGTGGTCTTGATTGTCTTCCACAACCATAAGACATATCTGTGTTGTTTACTTGGGTGGATATTAGCCACACTTTGTTCTCTTTAGTACCTTAGAGTCAAATCTGTACTTTTAAACTTGATAGATCTTTGCTCCACATCCCTTTGTATATTCCCATTCTATGTTCGAGAATCCTGTTGCAAAATTGATCTAAGGAGTGTTTGAGCTGTGTGTACAATCTTTGTCTAAAAAACAATGTAGTTTGAGCTGTATGTGTCATTCTGTGTACTTGACTTTATTTTGACAAATTCTGCTCTGGCTCTACTGTTTCTTAGAAAATAATGAGTGGGGCAACATTTCACAATGCATGTAATGGATAAACCCAATTAATGGTCACCAAGATGGCATATTAATTTTAAATACATGGATATTAATGATTGGCCTTAATATAGTTGTAAACGTATTTGAAAATGTGCCATCTGGACTGAAAGCAAAAAAAAAATACAAAAAAAGTAAAAATAATCATGGTTGACGTGGTCAAGATATAAAATGTGATTTAGAACAACCTGCATCTAATTCACTTATTAAGATGGATCTACTCTCTTCTTCTATATCTGCTACTTGGCTACTTCTACTGAGAAGTCTCTGTCTGGCAGAGGGAGGAAAAACTCTTAGTAATTCCTATGAATGGCAGCCACTGGCTAAGCAAGAAACCTGTAGTAGAAAGGCTAACTAAGAATGAGTATTAGGTTGTGATGGTGACACAAGCGAGTATTTTATCAATGAGTAACTCTTCATGCCATACAGCAATCACTACACAAAAGCAAAACTGCAAAAGTTTGGAAGCGATCACTTCATTAATGCTCCTTTTCCAGGAGTCACCATTAACATGCTTAACAGCATGTTATGTATATATGACATGTTTCGGACCGTGTGCGCAAAGTTTTTATTCCATAAAGAGTTAATGCAAAATCTCAGAGGAGATAAATATGATGCATTGCTTAGTGACTCATTTTCACCTTGTGGGATGATGGGGGGCATCACATCTTGGAGTCCCTAATGTGCATTTTCTAAGAGGAAAGCCCTATATGTTAGACTATACCAGTGCATGGTGTTCGAGCCCCCTGTCCTATGTCACCAGAATATTCAGCCAGTTCTCAGACAAGATGAATTTCATGCAGCGTTTGAAAAACCTATTAGTTAGGCTAATCGAGTACTATTATTGTGCGGCTACATATACACCATGGGAGCATCTTGCTTTCAAGTTCCTAGAAAACGACGAGAATATCCTGCAGCTTCTAAGCAGAACATCCATCTGGGTTCTGAGATATGACTTTGTCTTTGACTAACCACAACCTGTGATGCCCACATGGTGTTTGTAGGAGGCGTCAGCTGTGTTCCAAATATGCCCATGCCAAAGGTAGGAATTATATGCCCGTTAAACAGCCATACCTTTTCTGGCAAACTCTGCTCTGGCTAATAAAAGAAATGGAGCAGCAACATTTCCAAGTGATTATTTCCAAAATTCACATTATGCATAACACAATTTATGGTCATCTTGTTAGAAAATGTTGATACAAAGTACATGGATTTTAATACTGATTCCAGAGGTTCTATGGTGATTGCTCCAATTTTAGTACTTTGCACCAGAGGTGTTTAACATGACATCTGCAAAACAAAGTGCAATGACCTGTCCTCAAGGACACACTCAAGGTCGATTACAAAGACACAATTCAGTCCATTTAACCTCTGCAGTCATGTATCCCTCACCAGCAGTTGCCTCCACTGGCACGCTTTTGTCTCTCTATCTGCTTATTGCCCCCAGTCTAAAAATAAGCCTTCCCCATAATCATGCCAGTCAGGCTGGAAGGTAAAGGCTAGATTATTTTCATGTAGAATATGACTGTGCTCTTTTGGCCACTTTGATGGCCAAAGAAAGAATATAGAAGAAAGAAGCCCTTTAATCAAATAAAAAAATTCACAGGTTAAATTTACATTTTTTAATTACTATATGGGCTCCACCCTAACTGTTAACTATTAGTGTGAGAGGGTAGGTAGGGTCATTTAATGGTAGATACAAAAATTACTACTTGGGGGCACACCCAAAACATGCATTATTTGGTTGTGGTGCTGCTAGAACCTAAAATTGCAGGCATAATTTGACAATTTACCTGGGGTCCAGCGGGTATCTGCTGTCTCCTTTAAGGAGGCAAGGATATGCCGTTAGCTTCAGTGAGCTAATCCCTGCTGAACAGGATAAAAACATTGACTGACAGTGTCAACTGAGCTTAGTTCAGTGCTGGAGGTTCTTTAAGTAGGTGAGGTGGCATAGTCTAATGGTTTGACTACTTAGCCTGAGAAGGGTGCCAGGGTACTTTTGACTCTCTAACCACAACAGCGGACTGCTCTAGTAATGGTGGTTGGAATGTTTCTTTAATTCTCTCAGTACAACCAGGTATTCATGTGAAAATTTCAAGTGTGCTGTAGTGGTTATGGTGCTAGGAGTACTCTGTCACCTACCCTCCATTGTAAGTAGTCAAACCTTTTTAGAACTGTTTGATTTCTTACCTGGGGTCCACCAGGTGCAGCTCTATTTCTCATGGAGAGCTGGAAGCTTTGGGTTGAAGGTGCTGCTGTTAGCTCTCCTGGGGTAAACCATCTCTGTCAAATGCAGTGGAGACAGGGAGCAGTGCCAAGTAGACTTAAGGAATGAAGTCAAACCATTCTACAATGGTTTGACTATTTACAGTGATGGGGTTCCAGGGCACTGTTGGCATTATATCCACTTAAGCACTTTGTGATGGTTATAGTACTTGGACTGTTCTTTTAAATATATATTATCAAATTAACAAAATGTCCCAATTAGAGAAATGGAATGTCCTTCTCAATGAAGATCCTCCAGTGCTGATACAGATGGGTATTGGCGTGATAAGATGAGTTCTACCGCTTCTATGGGTTTTCTTTCACCAAATTTAACTAATGCAGTCAGGATCATTCACCATTCATTTACAAGTGTGAATAATCAAGAATTCAAACTGGAATTAAAATTTTGTCCCAAATATCCAAACTCAAAACATAGCTCACTTTGAGATTTTCTTCAGTTAAGATATTTTAACCTAAAATGTTTAATCCAATTCACAACAATTCACTTTAGTGAATAATCCTAACTGTGTAAAGTCTGTTAGTGTGGTGTTTAGTTGCATTTTATCAATGGACAAGGTTTTGTGTGGCATGTGTCCATGGCAAAGGCAACAGTTGCTTTTGCCTGGTCACCATGCAACCTTTGGAACCATATTTGCATGTACCGATCAACACAGAAAATCAACCTTTTTTTTTAGGCAATTGTTACTTATTAAACTCTTTGAAGCTGTAACCTGATTGGCACTCACTTAGGTACATGACATCAAAGGACCTTTTACGTAGAACAGTGAGTTTGCAATATTAGTGTTTTTTTGGTCAATTATTTGCAATTCTCTACACAAACATATATATATATATATAAAACCAGTCTTTAAGGATCCTTGCACTATGAACCTTAGTGCAAGGAACTCTTTATATTACCGGGTGCTATTAGCCAAGGCTACATAAACACTTCTGGTAAAAGCCTTAATCCTTTATTACCTACTAGTTGAGCACTGACCTTTTCCTCCTTATGGCAGCCTTAAACTTCTGATTAATAGAATATGACTCCATATAGGTCCACAGTATCAGGTACAAAACAAAAACAAGAAATTAAATACAATGCAAAACATGTGATATACTTTCTAAACAGAAGCACAGCCTAGCATAATGAAGCATAACTATGTCACAGAAAGCACTAAAAGAAGAACGTATAATGTAAAAACCGACAGGAATACTATAGAGCAGTGGTTCCCAACCCAGTCCTCAAGTATTATTCTTCTAAAAACACCTTAAACACAACTTGGTAATCCCTAAATCCTGAATCTAGAAACTAGAGACTAGGAAAACCAAAAGACAAGGAAAATACCCTCAGTTAGAACTTGAGGGATTCCCGCCATTATTACAAACATACTCTCCTAATAATGTAAATATATACACAGTGTACTTAGAAATCATCATAAGCAGATATTGCAGAATAAAATCTGCTAAAAGTAGCCAAGTAAAATCAAGGTCTGTAAATATATCTCATTCAAAAAAGCACAATTCTGAATTATACAATGTCGCCGTCACTGCTTTATTAATGTGTGTATGCCATTGGAAACATTGTTGTCAGAAAAAATATCTGCTCATGTGTTAGAGTATAAGGTATCGACCATAATGTATTAATATCTGAATAACATGGAAAAAATATCTGAATAACATGGATAAAAGGTATAAGGTAGATATTCCTCGGATAGTGTACTAACGATTTTATCAAAAGCTGAGACAAGAAAACAACCAAGGAGACCCCACAACAGATCGCAATTTGGAGTGGTTACAAACGAAAATGTATCAATCTGTTATTAAAGAAGCCGAAGTCCAAATATAAACAGCTTAAACTTACTAGGCTCTCATATCACATCTAAAGTGCTTTCACTGAAGTGAATGTGCTAAAATCGACTTAATGCACCGCTGTCCTATGTGTTCGAGGAAAAGTTATAAGCAGAGCTTGCAATTATACTGTCCCTGGAGTAATTAAAGGATGTCTAAATACACATATGTAAAATTCAAAGGCATTTAACCCAAGTGAAGCAACATGGTTATGTTAACAGTTAATCATATAGGTCAATAAAGAGTAAAATACAGGGAGCTTTGCATAATAGATAGAATTAAAATGAAAAAAAAAAAGCAAATCAAATATATACATATAGTCCCTAGACTTAAAAGGAGCTATAACTCTCAAGGGGATGGAGGGAGCAATCTAAAGTATGAAGGCTTAAACACTTGTGTTGCACACAAAGATCGCCTCATAATAATGTAAATTGCTGTAATCCCCATGATAACCTCGACACACACTAAGTGTTGTACCTACATATACATAGAGAGAGATAATCTAAAGCAGCGTTTCCCAATTGGTGTTTCATGGAACCCTGTCTGGGTCTGGGATGTTTGGAGAAGGTGGCAGCACTTTCTCCCAGACAGAGCATGCCGGCGGGAGGGAGAGAGCGAGCAGCGGGGACTGAATTGCTGCTGACCTGGCACACCATCCTCAGCTAGCAGCCTGCAGCACCGAAGGCAGTCACCCTCATGTACAAAAAAGGTAAGTGAACAACAAATAGGGGGGGGAGGGATCCACGATGTTGATGTCAAGGGATTCCACGGGAAAAATTAATTGGGAACCCCTTGTCTAAAGGAATGAAGGACATTGTGTATAAAAAAGACACTACAATCGCTAGAACCACTATAGGTTAATGTAGTGGTTATGGTGTCTATAGCATGTCCATGCAGGCTTTTCAATGTAAAACACTGCCTTTTCAGACAAAGACACCTACAGCCATATACCCTAGAGTCAGGTTTTATGGAATGCTCTATCTATGCGAGTTACAAATCAGAACTCTTATCAGAATTATTTTTAACATAAAAAACACACTAGTTTATGTATTTTTTTCTTTTATATGTATATTGTATTGATTTAAATTCATATACAAGCATATTACACACAGGTATACTAGGCAATTTCTTATTTCTAATTATTTCCACGCTCCATTGTTATTATAAATAACTTGGTATTAATTACAGGTGGATAATGCCTTTTTTGATGGAGGTATTGAAGTCCGCAGACAACCTCTGCAGCAATATCTGATTAGAATGAAACATATGTCAAGCACATAATGTTTAAACACAGCAAATGATCATAACTAAACTTTCTAAATAAATTTACCTAGAGGAATGTCACTATATTATTATTTTAGGGATTTATTCACTAAATTCTAAATTGTAGTGAACTAAAAACTGATTGGGATATTCACTAAACTCAGAACTGTAGAAATTTTAAATCCAATAGCCAACATTTTTAAAATTATAGCTATTTGTAAAAAATAAATAAATAAAAAATCTGCAAATTCTCTATAATTAGTTTGTTTATTTTAGCCTATAACTTGCCATTAAGATTTTAAATTCACTACAGTTAATGAACAACCACAATCACCTGCATTGAAATTTTATATTTCATCTTACACACATAATGGGGTGTCTGATTTGTAAAAGTCAGCCTAGAATTCATGTGTCCCTTGTTGACTTGCTTGTTTTCTGCCAGCAATGCAGGCCTGAACAGTCAGAATACTCTGAAAGCGGTTATGCGCATGTAGAATGCGGCAAGAAGACTTCTAAATGCACAATCACATTCTGCGATACAATAACGCATGCACTCTTTTTGGGCATTCTGATTGGATTTTCTCTGATGCCCTGGAGATGTAGGACACCAGAGACATAACCCTGAATTTATCTACTCAGGTTCCAAAATCCTTGAACTGCAGAAAAGTATGTAAATCCATAGGCCATATACAGAGTTATATTTCTGCTATTTCAATTTTCTCTAACATGACTCCCGTCTTAAATACATTTTCTTATATCCCTTTCATGAAAAGGTTTATTATTTCACATTATACTAGCCCTCTCATCTTCTAATTCTTACCTTATGCTGCTGCAATCCAGATATAAAAACTCACAAAACCACAAATCATGATCACATCTCAGTCCATAGAAAATGAATTTGCATACTTAATGGGTATATTCTAGTGCTATAGAATATAAAAAACCGGCATGAATGCCCCCTGAACTCCCTACCATCCTTACCCAGGAATTCGAGCCCCAAGTGGAACACCCCAACGAAATGGACGCAGGAGAGAAAATCCGTCTTCGAGAACCAAACAAGGGGGGAGGAGGCTGAAAAATCCAGGGGACGGAAGAGCATTCACCTAAGGGAAAAAAAGGACAAATGTCGGAACCCAGCACCTCCCCCGATCGAAACGGTATATTTCCGCCTATCCCGGGAACCTAGTACATCCTGTTAAGAGCCTAACCATTACCCTGTGCATTCCATCTACCTCAGGAGAAAGCAGAAGGGCCCGGTTATGCCGCAACGTCCAAGAATGAACAGATTCTTTTGATGAATCAGCCAACTGCTACCAACGTACCATACCCAAAGACAACAGCCGTCGAGTGGCGAAAGCCTGAAGGAAGTCCATTCCGATGCTTACTCAATCCACTAAAACAACCTCCCACCTGCAGATGACCGTAACATGAACGGGAAGCCACGAAGGAAATGCTCTCATCCAGCCCGACCACTCACACTTTACTGTAGCGGGCCCTACACCGCCTCAGAGATCGACCCATGGACCAGCTTCATCAGTCCTCTAGACCGAGCGACCATGTCTCCACTGCTGTATAATTTAGCCCCGTGGAGCCCCCCTGCCTGAAGTACGTTCGACCGCGAACAAGATAGAACCCCCGGGAAAAACCCTGCCTGACCAGACACTTCCAGACTCAAGCAGCGCCGAGCCAGGCGCCGCACCAGGGTACCACCGGGGTAGAGGGTACTGTCACATGATATAGACAGCCTGCACCAACCCACGATTGTCTCAATGGAAGAACTACCCACCTGTCCGTGAGTTGGGTACCCCATGCCTACCATGCCACCAGAATGAGGAAGCTCCAAGACAGCCAGAGTCTGCAACAGCCCTGATGCTTGCCAGCCTACTGGAGAAGAGTCAGCACACCATTGAGAGCCCAAAATGGCCCCACAAAAACGCCAAACCTGCTGCAGCGGCAACAGGTGGAAGTCAGTGGAAGGGATTTAGGGGGCCTGATTGCACAAGCCACCGTTAATGGAGGCCCAGAAGGAAACCCCATACAGCCCCAAGGACAACACTGACAGGCAAAGCCCAGCTTACCCAGGAGAGCCCACGGGTAGCGCAGCTAAAACCCACAATGCCCCCCAAAACCACTGACACCTCACGCCAGATGTTGTAAACCGCAGTCCGGGGCAACCGACGTTCCCCTGGCCGGAATCGATCCCACTATCCAAGAGACCACAGTACGATACCCGACCCATGGAACTCCGGAATGCGGAAACACTACCCCAAGCAGCAGTAGAGCGCGGACGTGCGATACTGATGGCCCCACACATAAGCGACATTGGGAGCAACTCTTGTGGAGGCACATAGCCACTTATCCTTGCCCGTCAACTACTGCCTTGTTCACCGGCAGCAGCCAGAAAGCCAATTCCACAGCTGCCTTTGTCAGCAAGGCCCCCAGGCCCCACAGTCCCACCCATGCAGACCGCTGTATCATGCCACGCCAACACATACCAAACCCCTGGAAGGGAACGACAATTGAGTAAATAAGGAATCAGGCATATCGACCCCACTCCTCCAAGGGCACCATATCCCAAAAGGGCAGATAGAGGAGTGAGCCTACGCTCCACCAGGAGGCAGCCGAGGTAAGTAACCATCAGAAAGAAGAACAGAAGGCAGAGAGAAGAACAGAAGGCAGAGAGAAGAACAGAAGAGACAGGAACAGGTAAGAGCAGGGGAGGAAAAGAAAAGGGGGAGGACACAGAGGAGAGAACAGAGAGGAGGGGGGGCAGGAGAGAACAGAAGGAGGGGGGGCAGAAGAGAACAGAGGGACCGACAAACAGGAAAACCAGGGGGACACCGGGTGAGGGTGAGGAGCAGGACCAGAGCAGAATAAGTGGAGGGGAGAAAACCGAAGGGGGAGGGGGTGAGGGCAGAACGGAAAGAGCCAGGGCGACAAATGGAAAGTGGAGTGACAGAGGGTGGGGGGGACAAGGGAGAGAGACCCAGGGGAGTCCCCCCACCAGCGGAGGAGGCTCCTGGGCCACCTGAGGTCCTCAACAGTGGTACCGGAGTACCCCGCGCGGCCCCACCGGGCCTACCCACCTTTGGGGGCCCTTGCCACAGCCCCGACGTCCAACCAGCCGCGGGGGGATTAAAAAGGCCGCTAGGCGGCCGCCCGCTTCCGGAAAAGTGCGGCCAGCTGTCCACCACCCCCGGCCTGGATGCAGGCCGGGAAGGCCACACTTCCCGCGTGGCACCTAAAGGCCGTAAATCCACTGTAAAAGTTGCAGGCCGCGTGTCTGGAGCCCCCAGCTGAACGTTTTGATATAAGATTTGTGTAGGTGGGCTTGAAAATGAGGGAGTGGTGGCAGTTTAGAAATCATGTCCTGATTTATTCAGCTTTTGCCAGCTCCCACTCTAGTTTTGAACATTTTGCCATTCATTCCTATGGGACCAATTTGGCCACAAGAACAACGATATTCCGTGACCCATTCAGCGAAACGTTCCACAAAGTGATAGCAATCCAATCTGGAACAATTACTGTCGGTATATTACTGTCTATGTAGTGTAAAAACTGTGGGAGGAGTTATGGTGGTAAATTTGACTATAATAAGAATAATATATATGTGAGATAACATTAAGTGGTCTTGCTATGCAAGAACACTTAATAACTAGAAAAGCTACAATTTCTGGGGAAATTGTGTGAAGTGTTCTTGCCTCCACCAATAGTCTACAACTGGAGTGGGTGGAGTAACTGTGTGGTGTGGCTTAAGTAACTGTTGTGTGGTTGGAGTGTGGTTCACTCAGGGCCGGCCTTAGGGGTGTGCGAGCTGTGCGACCGCACAGGGCGCCATGGAACAGGGGGCGCCCTGTGGCCGACACAGCTCACTCATGGCCGGAGTGCAGGGGAGCTAAAAGAGGTACCTGGCTGGAGGATTAATTATTCTCCACCCGGGTCTAAGAAAAAAAAAATCGCGGCAGAGGGGGCGGGGTTTACCGAGCGGCAGAGGCGGGGCTTATCGAGAGGCGGAGACGGGGCTAATACCTCCTGAAGCCCCTGCTGTACAGGAAGAGGGAAAGATGCTTCCCCATCAGCCAACTGCATCCACTGGAAAGAGGTAAGTGTGTGTGTGTGACTGTTTGCCTGTTTGTGTGACTGTTTGCCTGTTTGTGTGACTGTTTGCCTGTTTGTTTGTGTGTGACTGTCTGTGTGACTGCCTGCCTGTGTGTGTGTGACTGTCTGTGTGACTGCCTGTCCTTGTGTGTGTGTGTGACTGTCTGTCTCTGTGTGTGTGTGTGACTGTCTCTGTGTGTGACTGTCTCTGTGTGTGACTGCCTGCCTGTGTGTGACTGTCTGTGTGTGTGACTGTCTGTCTGTGTGACTGCCCATGTATGTGACTGCCCATGTATGTGACTGCCTGTGTGTGTGACTGTCTGTCTGTGTGACTGTCTGTCTGTGTGACTGTCTGTCTGTGTGACTGCCCGTGTGTGTGACTGCCTGTGTGTGTGAGACTGTCTGTCTGTGTGACTGTCTGTGTGTGTGACTGTCTGTCTGTGTGTGTGACTGCCTGTGTGTGTGACTGCCTGTATGTGACTGCCTGCCTGTGTGTGTCTGTCTGTAACTATCTGTCTGTGTGTGACTACCTGCCTGTGTGTGTGACTTTCTATCTGTGTGACTGCCTGCCTGTGTGTGTATAACTGTCTATGTGTGTGTTACTGTGTGTCTGTCTGTGTGTGTGACTGCCTATGTGACTGTCTGTCTGTGTGTGTCGCTGTAGCTGTGCCATTGTTTGTGCCTGTGCCTGTATGTGGGACTGCCTTTAACTGAGTGTGTGTGTACATGCCTGTAACCGAGTTTAAATTTCCCCCACCCCTTCCTGTCAAGGCCGCACTTTGACTGACAGACGCTCACTCACTGACAGACGCACACTCCCTGACAGACACACACTCTCATATACACTGACAAACAATGACATACACACATACACTATTACTTGGACACACACTGACAGATGCACACTCTCACTGACAGACGCAAGCACTCACTGAAAGATGCACGACTCCACTGACCGACACACACTCACTGACCGACACACACTCACTGACCTACACACTCACTGACGACACATACACACTCACTGACTGACACATACACACTCACTGACTGACACATACACACTCACTGACTGACACATACACTCACTGACTGACACATACACTCACTGACTGACACATACACTCACTGACCGACACATACACTCACTGACCAACACACACATTCACTCACAGACACACACACATTCACTTACAGACACACACACATTCACTTACAGACACACACAATTACACACTTACAGACACACACACACACACACACATTCACTTCAAAATAAACACTCACAGACACACACACAGACATTTCCACTAACACTCACAAACTAATATTTTTTACATTTATTTTAAATCCACCCAGCCTCCCTGGGAAAGCTGGAATGGATTTCTTACCAGCAGTCCAGTGTGGCTGCTGGGCAGGCAGGCAGGGGGCGCACAGGCTGAGTAAGCAGCGCTTAGTGATGCCGGGAGCCGGACTGACGTCATATTCTGGCTCCCGGCTTCATTAAGCGGCGCAGAGGAAGCTGAGCAGGAAGAGCTCAGGTAAGTATGCTCCTTCGCTGCCCGCTGCCAGCCTTGGGGGGGCTCAAAAGTGGCCAGCCGGTCAGCTCTTGAGCCCCCCAGGATGCGAGGCAAGCAAGGGATCTGCCTGGGGTTTGGAGGGATGCTTTTTTTTGCCGCCCCCTGCAAAGTGGCGCCCAAGGCAGATGCCTTGTTTCACTCGTGATACACACGTCCCCGGTGCCTGTGTGTGTTACTGTATTCAGGCAACTTGGTGGGAGGTGGGGGGGGCGCCGTGAAGACTTTTTGCACAGGGCGCCTAATTGCCTAAGGCCGGCCCTGGGTTCACTCACCCTACAGCAAGGGCAGAGAAGAGTGGTTAAAAACAAACTGCTCCAAATTGCTCAATAAGAATAATAACATATATGTGAGATAATAGTAAGTGGTCTTGCCATGTAGGGATATAAATGTACCAATTTATATCAAAACGTTCAGCTATCTCTGCTGCCACTGTGATGTTTTGTACAAATCAGTCAATAATTCCTGTATAACGAAGTACTCACTTTATTGTTACATATATAACAGCATCTTCATATTGCAGCCTTGTTACACAGGGTTTCAAATCCCTCAAACATTCCGCCAACTGCAAACAGAAACTAATAGATTTCAAATAGGGCAGAGAAGAGCGGTTAAAACCAAACTGCTCCAAATTGCTCACTTCACTGGCAGTTGCAATCTTCAAACGGTCGACCCAGACCTACATTTTGATGCATAGTATGTTTCTGAAATATTAAAAATGAAGGCACAATCGCAGTTTAGAAAT